TCCACACTGCTCCAAGTACTGATAAAGGAGCTGAATTTTTTAGCTGCTAGGAGGCTGAAAAATAGATTTTTCATCTGAAGCCACATAGAATGAGAGGTAAACGTGCCACAAAACACTCATCAACTGTCTCATAGACCACATTGTTTAGATGAGAATCAAAGRAAACAAACAAAAAAGTTATTGAGATTACATTAAAAAAAAACTAGCAAAAGAGATAAGAAATGCTAGTGTGGATTAACACTCTTCTGATAAASAGGAGAAGTTTAAGGCAAGAGAGGAATTTCAATTCAAAGAATAGGGTTCAAAGGCATTTTTTACATTCAGACAAAACAATGGAGATACAGAGAGTCCAAGCCACATCCTAAATAGTTTCAGATAATTATAATGCTGTAACTTCTGCTTATCTGTGTTAGGATGATTTTAATRCACAGTTACCAGGGACTGGTGCTATCTCAATTTTAGCATTGTTCATTGCACGTATGATCAAGCATTCTCTTAATTTCCAAAACAGATGCCCAAATGCCCCAGCTTTCCTTATGTCCAAGAGCAGCTAATGAAGACACRGCTGATGGCTTATGAATGCTGTGCCTGAATTCAAGAGCAACATTTTATAACATGGATTTTCTCAAACTGAGATGATGGACGTTTACACTTACAGCAAAACCTGACTGTGCACACTCAAACAATCCAAATAGTAAAGTATTTTTATTTTTTCCCACTGTGATCAAGTTTAACTTGGACAGTTTTTTCCTCACTGCTGCYTTCATCCCTACTGGTGACACCCTCCTATTAAATATACTAAAAAACAGAGAAGTTTCACAGCATCTGTTCCCTTCTTTCACCTTCAGCAAAAGTGTCTCTCACTTTAACATGGCATGAAATTATGTCWCTTCAAAGTAAATTATACTCAGCAACACCAAGGACAGATGTAGTATTTGTTAGGGTCATCAGTTCAGATTATCAATTCATATTTACCAACATATCCTTTATAAAGAGGATTCCACATAATAAGTTATGAAGAAATAGATGAATAACCTTGGCAATAATTCAATTCTCCTTACTCTTTATGATGGGTTGGTATTGGCTTATGAYCAGGAAGATGCTCACAGCATGCAAAAAATGCTAAAATTAAACCTTGCCTYCCTCTTAATGCATTCACAGAGGCTGATCAAATTGCATAAACCAGGTAACACATGAGATTTAAGTTCCAGAAGACAGACGAAAGCCATGGGAAAAGCAGAGGAATTTTCATCTCCATCGAGCAGGGAGAGCTGTGCCAAAAACTCCTTGGAAAAGTTTCACTACTGATTGAGGTGCAGCATTTTGGGTTGTTYAGCTGGGTTAACTTCATCTCTCACTAAGCACCCAAGAGATCCCGCAAGGAAAGTACTGAAGAAAAAAAGTGATTAACTCTTGTCACAACGAATCAGCAAACGTGCCTTTCATAAAGAGGCATAATTTGGCATTTTGTCTGCGTAAACAGAACATCTGTGTTCTCAAGTTTCTGTCAAGTATGATTGGCTATCGTAGCTAGAAATTGCTGTGTTTCTATCAACATAAGTACACCTTGTCCTATTATTTATTTTACATAGAAAAGCGTGAAGTACCTAATAGTCTGATATTTTAGAAGGACAAAACAAAAAGAAGCTCAGCCACTAGCCAAACGTAGAACAATCTATCAGTGAGGAGAAAAGGAGAAAACATTTCTGCTTTCTTGTTCAGTCTTCAGTAATAGAAATTATATAGTCAATCTCCATTTGAAAAAAAATAAAATTTATTATAACAAGCCAGCAGGATCCACAAATCTCATTAAGTTATGTATTACTTATCTGTATATAGTACCAGACAATATTACCATGCTGATTAAWGTGACTAGAATCAGATCTGATCAGATTCTATAAATACATAATTGAAATAATTTCATCAGTATCTAAGTAATTGTTAGAGTGGAATTACCCCTAACCAAAAAGGCCAACACTAAGTGGAAAGAAACTCAAGTCTGATGCTGTCAGATGTCTCTCTCTAAGCAACTTGAGCCCACAATGTGTAATACTCCATTTCTCCCCCAAGATTTCTTTTCTTCCAGTTGTACAAAAACAGTGGTCAAAAACATCAATTCTGTAATCAGCTACARCCCTCAGATGGAAATTACATATGGGCTGTTTTGAGGTGTAGAGGCAGTGAAGGACACTGTCACAGAGGCACGAGCAGTGAGTGTGTTCAGCACCACATCTAYAGAGGTTTTCATCCGCTTGCAAGAGTCCAGCCTATTCACCTGTGAAGAGACAAGCATGGTCCCACCTGCATTAACTTATTGACAACCAATTCAAAAGAGAACTCAGAGAAAACAGAGCAGGAATTGCTCATTCACAGGCCTGCGAGCAAGGTTTGATTGGTTATATAAGGCATGTTATTCCTTGGGGCCTGCACACAGTACCGGTCAGAAGCTACTCCGAACAAACTACTTATTCTTCTTTCCTTGGGCTCTCATTCTGTTTGAGGCGCGTTGCTCAAGTGAGCTAGACTTAATGCAGCAGGTACAACGCTAAAACTAAAATAATATAAAACTGCAATTTCTCCAGAGTCCTTATTTCTTCACTAACAAGGCAAGAAGTATTGAAGAAAAAGTAACTTGAAAAAAAGCTCTGATGATCCTCAAGTGAAAGTTCTGGCTTTCACTTTGATAAAGATTGATGTCAATCATAAAAAATTACTCTAATCTAATCATAGCTTGCAAGCATCCTCCTGGTCAGAATTTTCCATAAAGAACTTTCTGTGTAAATTGCCAACAATATGCTTAGCCTTTTAAAATTCTCCTGCTCAAAACTGCACAAACGAAGCATTTAGGAAGAAATTATGGCCCTGCCGGCCTTTCAGTACTTATATAACAGAGGCAAAAGTCTGACGTGCTCCTCTTGACAGTGCTGCTGCACATAACGCAGCTGAACAAAAGGTGCAAAGTGAGTGTCCGAGTAATTTGTTGGAAAGGAGCCATTGTTCGTTCTTATCAGCGCATCAGACAGCATAAACATCTCAAATGACCCTTGGAGGTACATAAATATCCACTATTGAAAAGGATCGGAGTAGTAACTCTTTAGAGCCACAGGTTTAAGAAAAGAAAAAAAAAGAAAAAAAACAAACACTTTCTTAAAAAAAAAACAACAACAGTTTCTTGGCCCCCATGAATCATGCTTAAGGAACAGAGCCAGGTTTCTGCCRTTCTTATTCACACTGTAGCCCACAGTTATTCTCAAATCCCTGATCTTCACAAGAACCTGTAACTGAACACGAGTGGTACAGCACGGAAGAACCAAGATTGTGACGAGAGGCGCTCAAGTATCTCCAAYGCTCCTGCGAAGCTGCAGTTCTCCCGAGCGCGTGAGATCCGAGCGCATCCCGGAACTGCCGCCTCGCGTGCCTGACGGCATCTTTACAGACGCAGTCAATGTGACAATACTTGTGACTAAGGAAGCAGAAGTAAATGTCACCCCTGTAACTCGGCGCAGTTCTGTGAAAGGAACAAAGATTTGATGACAGAATTTTTAAAACTGAGCATTAATCGTTATAAAAATTCATGAAGTTCTTCTTGTCTCATTTCAAATTTCACATTCTTTCCTTCCACATCTACTATGTCCATCAGARTCTCCAAGCGGAGCAGGAGCCTGAAGAACATGACACACATGGGCAAGCTGAGAGAACTGGTCTGGTCCAACYTCGAGGAGATCAGGCTAAGGGGAAGCCCCACTGCCTCCTACCAGCAGTCCTGAAGGACAGAAAGGAAGGAGMCAGACTAATCTCAGAGGGGCAGCACTATAAGCGCTACAATGGCATGGAACACAAGTAGAAAGAAGAGAAATTCCGTTTAGTTAACAGCAAAAAAAGAATAAAATAAAAATTAAAAAATTCAAAGGGCAGTCAATCACTGGCACAGGTTGCTCGGTGGCTGAGAAGCCTCCATTCATAGAGGTGTTCAAGGTTCAAATGGACATGGGCCGGAGCTACCTGGTCTCACTTGACCTGCCCGGAGCACAGGGTGGGATTAAGCCTTTAGAGGCTCCTTCTAACCTAAATTAGTCTGACTCTATGAACATAGAATAATATAAGGTTATACATAAAGTTAATGAAAGGAATTGGATTTTCAAACGTGATTGTTAAGTCCCGTAACAACACATTTCTGGAACTCTTGAGAGCAAAGGAAAGGCATTACTTTATTACCTCACTAGACAGAGGACAAGAAAACTCTGTTTTTAATGTTCAACACAAGCACAAAACTGAAAATCAAATTGTTAAAAAAACTCCTAGCATTTACACTTAACTTGTGGTTGTTCCATACAAAGCAGTACAGAAAGGCTAAGACAAAGACATAGTTTGGCAAACTTAGAAATAAGCACCAAAATACTTTTTGAAACTTYTTAGAGAGTTTAAAGTGTGAAAGATTAGCATTTGCTGAGTTTAATTTGGTTGCAGGTTATAGCATGACTAAATTATTTACTTTGCAATACTAAATACAAGATAAAGGAAAAAAATCAGAAAGTTATTTTTATAGAAATACGCAGCTACTGTCATTTCAGACACTTTGTGAATACCTTCCCCATTACAACTTCTAAACAACTGTGGAACTCTGCAGACCAGGTCTGTCACCTGCAAAAATCACAGGTTTGATGACAATCTGATGCACACACACGTGACAGATTGTACATGTCACGACGCATGTACAATATATGATAAAACAACATGCTCATGAGAGTATCACGTTGTATCATGCTCTCATGAGAGTCAAAAACTTAATACCAGAGAACAAAATGCTGGTTTACCCTTCATTAGGGCACAGCAAACTARTTATAGCAGATGTTAAACATAAGGTGTTTTGCAGGGCTTTCTTTGTCATCAAGCTGCAAGTTAAAAATATAACTTTTTTTCCCCCCTCAGTAATATATTCCCCTACTTAACAAGAGTAAAGCAAAACTTACAGGTAAAGCAATCTTTTAGCAAATTCCAGCTGTGACAGTGTTGCACATGGCTTCTCACATTACTTCTTGGGTTCATTTCCTAGAAGAAACAAACAATGACACAGATTATCACAGTTAYATACTGCTGAAATGCACTTGATATTCACGAAGTGTGGTGGCAATCTAAGGCAGCACTCCCAGAGGTTCAGGATCAGCTCCAACGAGGTTTATCAGTTCTTATGCCAAGCTCTGGTTCCCATTCATCTTTCTGTGGCTTCTGCAATGAACATCTGAACTCGAAAGCACAGAGGAGTCCAACCCAAAGAGCAGGAGGCCAAGCAAAGGCGGCAGGAGGCCCACATGGATGGGCAGGGCACTCCTGACAAACCTCACGTGCAGAAGATTAAAGTGGGGACAACTGACCAGGGAAGATCCAGAAACACTGCTCGAGCATGCAGGTGTGGTTCAGGAGAGCCAAAACCTGTCTGCCCTTCAGGCTGGAAAGGGATGCGAGAAGCACCAAGGAGGGTTTCTGCAAGCAAACAAGCAGCACAAGGAAGACTAATGGCTGTGGTGCTGAACGTAGCAGGAGCCCTGGGGACAGGAGACATGGCCCGAGGTACACTCGGTGCTTCCTTCTCCTCTATGCACACGAGCAAGATCAGTCTCCAGCAGTCCCAGCCCCAAGACCTGAAAGAAAGCCTGGATGAGGGCAGATTTAACYCTCACGGAGGAGGATCAGGTCAGGGAACGTTAAACCGGTGGAACGGCCACGGCCCCTTGGGCGCAGCCTGCCAGGAGGACGCGCCAGCGCCGAGGGAGGTGGCCAAGGCGGCCACAGAGACACTCTCGGTCACCTCCAAAAGGCCACAGCAAGTGCCAGGGTTTGCTGGGACCCACAGCAAACATTCCCATCTTCAAGGAGGAGGATCAAGGRAGCTACAGACCAATAAACAAACAGAACAAGTTTGGGGAGTTATTCAATATGATATTTAATGGATTAACAAGAACAAATACAATTTTCCTCTGTAATAAAAAGATACTCTTTAAAACAAGAAATCATTGCTCTGAGCACTCTCAAAAAAATCTTTAGTTCAACGTGCATGCTAGAAATACAAGTCAGCGTAGAGAACTCAGTTACACTAAATGAAAAACAGAGACACAGTTGTCTGGGCATTCGTGGGTTTCTGAGCACATGATCCAAGGAATTGCTCCACTGTATGGGCAGAAATTAGCCCATGGAATAAGTTTCATAACTCATTCAGACCAGAAGCACAGACATGTTGTAGAATACAAGTTAATGAAATTCTTTAGATTCAATATAACTTTTAGGGGAAAAACAGATTCCTTTTGCAGTTGAAAGCATTTATCTTTGAGTGAACAGATTAAGTTTATACTTTTACAGATTTTTATTTTCTTTACAAGTTCACATTTGAGTTCAACTTGTTGAAACCACGACTACAAACATAATTCAAAGGCTCTATAGAGCTATTTCCCTAGGGAAAAAAAAAGAAAGCAGAAGCCCTTCTCTGTTGTCACAGAGAACAAAGAATATATATTAGAAGTGTATTTCTGTGCATACCCTCCCTTGCATACATACGTGGCATGTATACAGCAGCAGGGATGCATGTTGTGTTGCTAAGAAACTAGACACCTCTAGAGCAAAGCAGCCGTAYGAGGGCATTTCAATCCTTCAGCAGGGAGAACGTGGGCACATCTTTTTGCTAATCAAGGTAAAAAGGTAGTTTACAGGAGTCCTTGGTTAATGGTCAACCAAACACTAAAGCTAATAAAATCATAAAATCTGAAATCAGTAGTTTATACATTATAGGGTGCTTAGACATAGCTTCAAACGGCAGCCAACAGGTAAATATTACAGTATGAGGATGGCACTTTCTGCATGTGATGGAAGATGAAACAGAGAAACCCTGACAGGTTTTTGGACTTGTTAAACTCAAAACTTTAGAAGACACAGTTGCTAATTTGATGGCACGACATCAAATACCATGGAAATACTCCACTGCTTTTAAAGGAAGATAAAAAAATTTGCTGTAGAAATTGTTTTTAAAAAGAAAAAAAAAAAAACCCTACTCAATCTATAGGCATACCCGTTAAAGAAAGGCAAATCAGAGGGCCCTTCCTTGGACTCGGGYCCTGTTTTCACCTCGCGGTCCGAGGTTAAAATAGCCTTGTTTTTGGAGAGATTTACATTTAGATCACTCAAGGCAGGAATAGGAGATGCAGGCTGTAAAAAGACTATGAGCCTGTTGGCAGTCTTTACTTGATTAAACAGCTCAGAACAACGGTGTTAACTGTGGCTAAACAAACGGTGCCCGATAGGAAGCCCTGGACAACGTGGCCACGCTGGCCTGGGCAGCAGAAGCCTGGGAACCAAAAGCCCCCAGCGACTGCCTGCTCCAGCACAACCACAACCGCCCGTAACTGCCCATAACCTCACTGCCCCCAACCGCCCGTAACCGCCCATAACCTCACTGCCCCCAACCGCCCACAACCACCTGTAACCTCACTGCCCCCAACCGCCCGTAACCGCCCATAACCTCACTGCCCCCAACCGCCCGTAACCGCCCGTAACCACCCGTAACCTCACTGCCCACAACCGCCTGTAACCTAACTGCCCCCAACCACCTGTAACCTCCCGCCCGCACTGCACCTGCAGCCCAGCCAGTTCTGCCACCACCCTGTCGAGAACCATCAACATAAATGAGTAATCACAAGTGAATAAATCTTCCTCGATCCACCTGCATGCAGGACAGGCGCTAGCAGTACCAGGAAGCACCCAAACCTTTTGATCTATCTACGTTTCTCTTAGTCCAAACTACCAAAACCAGACAGGGACTCAGAGCTTCACCCAAGAATCCTTGTTGAGAACCCATAGCTCCAATTTTAACAAGTACTAGGCAGGTACAACGGTCATTTCTTAGGCTAGCTTCTTCCAAAAAGCTCTCTCAGAGTAAATGCTAAAATAATAATAATAATAATTTCAGACACCCCAATTCTGGGGCTTTCACTTACAACAGAAAAGTGCTGTGGACACGTGGTGCCCCTTGGGGAAGAATCCTCTCCCCTATCCCGGGACCAAGCAGGGCCACCATCCCGGGGCCTCRTATTCCTGTTTTGGGTTCCCAGCTCAGGAACACTTGGAGCTGCCAGGAGCAGGTTATGTGGACACCTAAACACCAACCAGCTACATCTTCTGGGCCGTTTTTACACCACTGCCCCGGAGCTTATAACTTACAGCTACTTTAAAAACATGTGTGCTTATGGAAGCCCAGCAGCACAGTAAAACCCAAGCAGCTGGATACAGACCTCCATATTCTTTCCCTTCATATCTTTCCCTTCATATTTATTTCCTCCAGGCAGGYAGCAGCACTTTGGCAGTCAGTCACTTACATGACGTTAAAAACAGGCCATTTAGTGCTTTAATTGTATGGACCTAGCTACAGATTTTATTATCCTTTCTCACAGGCAATTTATTTCTTAGATTTTACAAAGGAAACAAAGCTAAATGCCACATTTCAGTCAACACTACATTGGAAGCTGAGAAGTGCATTGCTGCAGGTTTTCCATGCCAAACCACAGCTTGGTTTTCCATAGGAGGACTGGATTCCTGGTTTCAGTGCATCCCAACAAACACATCCGCGATGAGCACAAACAGCCAGTTTTGTCACATGCCACAAACACACAGAGCTGGTAACAGCATCCACTCACTCTTCAGCCAGTTTCTTACAAACATTTCTCAAGTTTGCTATTCCAAAAGTAGTGATTTGAATAAAAATAAAACACAAGGTTTTTAGGGTACTAACACCTTACTTATCCTGACAGCGTCTGAAAGGCTTCAAAACCTTTAAATTACCAGCACCTATTCTGGCCCTGGCTAAGCAGCCAGCGCTGATTCATTTATCCTTTGTCCTTTCAAGCTTTCAGGGGGCTGTGTAGCCATAGTAACTATGTCTTTTCTCTCCGAAATCCATTAGCTGGTTTCAATCTAGGACTCTACACCACCATAAAAATCAAAGCCAAAGATTAAAAAAAAARCATGATAAAAAAGATTCTTGGAGACAAGCATTTCTTTAAAAGCAATTTCTGTAGCTTCATGCATTATATATGTAGCAGCAAAAGAAATCAAAAGGTTAAAAGGACAACAAAAGAGAAATTCAAAATAAATTCAGAAACTTGGCTATCATCAGGACCCAGGAACCTCAAACCAGGCGTCACAACCAAGGCAGTTCTCGCTTGCCCCGGGCCAGCCTGGGCTCCCAGCTGGAGGTGGCACCACCCGCYTCGCTCCCGCTCCGAGAGCGGGGAACGGGTAGGATTGGGAAAGGGAGACGCCGGGATCAGCAGACACCGGGATCTTCCTGGCAGTCGGGCGAGCCGGGCGCCGTGGGGCCTGCGCTCCCCTTGCGCGCCCCACAGACACGGCCCTGCGCCCCACAGGAGCCTCCCCGTCGGAAAGAGGGGGACCCTCCACTCTTATCCYCCAAGACAGCTTCAAAAGGAGGGAGGTGCTTCCGAAAGCAGCTCAGGGAAAGCTGCATCCTGTACTTATCCTGTGGATATACTGAGTGCATCATGACAGTCCTGAGCAATTTCCAAGCTGCGGATGCTGTCCCTTCAGTTAAATAACGGAGCAGGGACAGGGCCACTGACACCACCAACGAAACACTGGTGTTTGGCCTCCCCGCATCCCACTCTGCTCCTGCCCTTTTGAGGGCAAGCAAGAACACGAAATGCCAGGCTCACAGTTATCTAGGATAAAGAAAGACTACACGACTATTTTATTTTTAATAGACTCCAAAAACTGCAGGAGGAAAATCACACTCACATTCAAATGAAGGAAAACAAAACAAAGCAAAAAGCCCACACAGGGAAGTGTGCTTTTTCCTGTAATACCTAACTTTAGAAAATCTGGCTTCATGGAGGTTAAGAGCCAACTTGCACAGACTTTGGAGGGCGAGGATTCCCCTGCGTGTCTGCCTGTCCAAGGTGGCACACAAGAGAAGGTGCCGTTCCCTGCCATGCGTGGAGGATGGAGTGACAGCAGCAGAGGCTGTTTCTGCCACTGCTTTTTTGTTACAC